CTCAAACTAATAAGGAATACAAGCACAACCAATTAATCAAGTCCTTAAAATATAAATCTTTCACATATAATTCTTTAAGATAAATATCTTTCGAATATACTTCTTTTGAATAAATATCTTTCGAATATACTTCTTTCAAGTAAAAGTCACCATGTGACATGTCATTTCACAATCATAAAAATTACGAGTCTCAGCCCACTTTCTTACTTTCACGGTACCTCGTGCCCATATTTCTACCATAACCGCACGAACAACTCAATAATAAAATCATCATATTTTTCCGGCACCTCATGCCCATATTTCTTTCATAACCGCACGGACAACTCACGTACCAAAATATCAATGTATATAAGATCCGCAGGATCAATTTATTTTCAATAAAGTAAGTTTACAGTTTTTAAAACCAAGTAAGAAATTATCAAAGAAATGAGTTTATTTTTGAACTCGTTTGGATGAAGAAAATAATATTTCAATTAAAATGAAGCATTCAATGACTACTAATTTGGATGTAAAATTTATTAAATTAAAACATAATAACAATTTCTTTTATTTGAAACAACTCAAATCTCGAAAACTAGTAAAAACCGTAAACACAAATCCTCAGAGTCTTTTACAAAGAGCCAAAGCCAACACAATACAACAAGGAATACAAAACGCATAATAAATTCAAATAATACATCCCGGAAGAACACAAGAATTTACATATCACGTAAAAACAAAATAACCAAAGGCAAGTGCAACCGTAGAAAAATATCAACAAAGGGCACTCCCAAGGTACCGCCTCGTAGTCCCAAATCATAAATAAATTTCAACAAAGGGCACTCCTGAAGTACCGCCTCGTAGTCCCAACACAAATATCAACAATAACAATGCCCCCAGGCCATCACAAGTCATCACAAATCAATTCCCGACATAGCCCACATTGTCTTGCCACGTGCGCAATAATAAAGTAAATGCCTGCCTTGTCTCGCCGCACGCGCATAATAATATTCCCACCTTGTCTTTCCACATACGCAAACCCACATATATAACCCGCCTTGTCACGCCGCATGTGCATATATCAATAGTAACAATAGCACGGCAGAAACCTCGTGCAAATACCCGAACAAACCTCTCAACAATATCACGCTCCAATATCACAACATCTCATAAATTGCACCTCAAGTGTTCAATTATCACAACATATCACAAATTGCACATCAAGTGCTCAAATATTACAACTTGACACAGAAATCAACAATACATTATTTTCCACAATAAGGAGCCCATGGCTCGACCAAAATATGCACAAAATCTTAACAAAATATTCGGGAGTGAACAACTCAACAAAATAATATTTCACAATTTAACACTTTGCCTCAGTATGATTTACGGCCTTTATAACTCAATACCAATTTCAACAACATGAGCTGGAAAGTAATTCATCAAGGAACAACGCCTTCTTTAATCCAAATTTTTGGCAAATAGATTAATGCGTCATTTTAATTTTTTTTTTTTAAATAAATTATTTGCAAATGAATAATGCATAATGAAATTATCTCCAGGAAATATCAACTCAACAAAAAATACGGGATTCACATAAATATCAAAGTGGCAATCACACCAAACTATCATATAAAAATAAATTCAACAAACAAGGATTTAGGCAGTACAAATAAAGGATTTACTATGTTTCAATAATTTTTCAATTTAATACATAAGGGCGTCTACGAATTTCAACCAATGTAATTTGCACATATAAATCAAGTACGTACTCGTCACCTCGCGTACATGATTTTCAATTACACAATTTCCACATAAGACTCAATGCCTAAGGGGTAATTCCCCCACTCAAGGTTAGGCAAGATACTTACCTCGACAAAGCTAAGTCAATGCTTTAAATGATATTCGCGAGTCAAGCCATCTCCGGACGGCTCAAATCTGAAATTCGCCCCTTAATAATACTATGATGGTCCTCCACACTAAACAAATTTTAATCTACAACAATACAACACAATTGCATCAATATTAGTAATAAATTTCCAGATTTTTGGCCATTTAGGCATTTCATCTAACACCTAGAGTACAGAGCATTTTACTACCTCTAGTAATGGTGTTTCTTCATCCAACAATCCCTCCTTACCACCAACAAGAGATACTAAACCATCATTTGTCTACAAACAACCTTCTTTAGTACCATTAAAAATCATCAATGAACTCACATCCACCCAATTATTGCTAATTAATTTATTACAAAAATCTCTACAATACCCAATAATCTAGTTTAAGTATTTATAACTTTCAAGCACCATCCAATAAGTGTTAATACTTATTTCTTGCTCACATACTCATAATAAATCCATACATGTAAGTCTAAGGGTGAAGGATTACCTTTTTTAAAAAAATCTTGCAAAACCCTCATTTGAGTTCTTAAAAAAATTTCTTGAAGATCTAAGTATTTATGTGTTGATTTCATCAATACTAGTACAGAAATGATGTTCATACCAAGATAATGGGGATTGCTTACCTTGAAGAAGAGAGGAGTTGGTGGTCTTGAGTGAGTGCAGAAGAGCTCCAAAATTCATCTAAATGAAGTGGGAAAAATGAACCCTTAAATTGTATCTATAGGCCCAGATTTCTGGGTTTCGGATGCTGCCCCCGATGCTATGGCAGCACTTCACTGCCAGCCCTTCTTTCGGATGCGGCCTCGGATGCTTCGCATCTGCAGTCTCCTCTGCCAGCCTTTGGTAATATGGTCATAACCTCTTGTAGAAATGTCCAAATTACAAACGGTTTGAAGCGTTAGAAACTAGACTCGAAGATCTTTCATCTGATAGGTTGTCTATCACATAACTCCTTATATATATGTAGATACTCTCGTCCTAAATTAGGCCTTGTGCCAAAACATACCAAATCGATCCAGAATGACCTCAAATATTTTGCACACAAGTCGTAAATAACATAACAAAGCTATTCAAATTTCCGGAATTGAAGTTCAACCCCGATACATCAAGGTCAACTCCCGATTAACAATTATTTTTTCTTAAAATCTTCCATTTTCTAACTTTTGCCAAAATGCGTCGAATTGTCCTACGGACTTTCAAATCCAAATCCGAACATACGCCTAAGTCCAAAATCACCATGCAAAGCTATTGAGACCATAAAAATCTCATTCCGGAGTCGTTTGCTCAAAAGTCAAACTCCGGCCAACTCTTTTCATTTAAACTTCAAAAATAAGAATTGTTCTTTCAATTAAATTCTGAATCTTCCGGAACCAAACTCGACCGCACGTGCAAGTCATAATACATATTACGAAGTTGCTCGGGACCTTAAGTCGCTGAATGGAACGTTAATTCTCAAAATAACAAGTTGGGTCGTTACACTTTTAGTACGCTACATTTTGGCTACGAGAAAAAATATTGTAGCTAAAGTGTTTAGCTACAGAAGTTTTTGTATTTAGCTACGATATACTTCATAGCTATATATGAATAATGTTGTAGTGATTTTTATCACAAGATGTTCCCGGTGTTCATCCGGAGTCCTCAAAATATGTGTCAGAGTTTCATCGTCTTCAATGTTAAACTCAGCATAACAAGCAACCCCTTGCGGAGTAACAGAATACGCATATCTTCCGATTACTTTAATATTAACCGAACGTTTCCTCACACTTAATTTTTTACATAACAACGAAACCAATCTATCATACTCCATTGTAAGTGGCAACTTAACAATACACTATGGAGAACAACTATAGCGTACTGAGTTATTCTCCACCACAACCTCCCTCCCCTAATATAATGCAACCCTAATTTTTCGCTCTTCGAACATTATGACAAAATGCAAAATAAGTTAAGCTAACAAATTTTTCGGAAGACCTGAAGGATCCTGAATGGATTTTTACCGAAATTTTGAAATTCCTTAAATAAGCAAAAAACCAGTCCGGAGGTACAATAATTGAGGGTATACTGCATGCATAATACGCGCTATATATGTATCACGTATTATGCATCCGCTATACCCTCAATTATTTGTGGGTCAGTAACGTTCAAATAAATTATTGGTGGGCCAATAAAATTTACATATAGCGCATGCAACCCATGTGTTATACCTTAACGGACAAACGTGTCGTTAAGGTATAGCGTATTGAACACATACGTTATATATAAATTTGTCGTCGGTTATTTTTTCAAACTATTTTTGTACTTTTGAATCCAAAAAAGCAACATTTTGATTCGAGACTCCCCTAGTCATATCTATCATAATTAATAGGGCACAAGTCTTTCATTTTTGACTATTTGGCATTAAAATAACAAATGGAGTGGAGTGCAAGTCCTGCAACTGTCAATATTCAAGTCCAGAAAGAGGACTTTTATCTACGACCATACTATAGTCATGGGCTGTCCAGTTTTTCAGCTTAAAGATCTGTGCAAGCTCGAACTTCTATTTCCACTTGCTCATATATACATGTATAAAATATATTGGGAAGATCTTCGCTTCATACATTTATAAGAAATATTGGAAATAAATCATTTATTAAGAAATTCAAAAAGCTAACAACATACTTGTTAGGATATATAAGTGAACTTATTTAGACTTACTAAAAGATTGCATTATCTCAAAGAGTTTATATTTTATGTATTGATTGCTTATTTAGTACACTTAAAACGCAGTTGTAGTAAACTTTATGAAAAAAATCATATTGTGTTTTTAGTTCACTTAAAATGTAATTGCAGGTAAACTCTATGTAATAACATTCATCATCAACTAGAAAATGTCGTAAATAACCTGTTACAATATGTTAAATCATACTAGTAATAATCTAAATGTAAACGCTTCTTATAAGTGATCTTATTATATAAAATATTTTTTTCATAATGTAAACGGATAAAATTTAAATCTTTTTTTCCTCTTTTGTTTGTATGTGTGTGTTTGGGCAAAGTATGGTGGCAAATTACAAAAGTATAATAACAGAATATCACTAACATATAAATAAGAGCAATCCTTAATTCCTACATGATATATCTCGTGAAGGGCTTTTATTCCCTCCGAAACGGTGAGTAAATGCTAGCGGCAAATGGCTAAAACAATAAGGAGAAGAGAACCACGAAATAGAAATCAAAATTAAAGCATCTGGTGTCGGTGAATCTCACAAGAGGACTTATACCAATTATAGAAAGCAACCTCTCTTTTTTTTCCAAATACATTATCCACCAACTCAATTCTCTTTTCTTTTCATTTACTCGTTATATATAGCAAATTCTTGAATATTTGTGGACATTTCTTGAAAAGTAACAATGGATGCTTTATGGAATTTGGAAGACAAATGGAAACTGTCAACTCAAGAATCTGTTGCATTTTTAGTTTGCACTTGTTCTTTAGTCATTGGAGTTTGCATAGTTACTGCTTTTATCAAAAGAAGGGCAGCAAATAGGAGAAAAGGGTTAGTAAGTCAAGAACCATGCATGGATATAGAATGGTCCGAGCCAAAGTTACTGAGTTTGAGTAGTACTACTGTGAAAAAGGTGTTGAAGAGCTCGGTACGGTGGAGCAGCGCGAGCAAGTGGGAGGAGAAAAGAAGCAGGAGTCATACGGAGAGAATTTCTCCGTTGCTTGTTGCTGAAGATCAACTTGAAGGCGATTCTTACAGATGGCAAAGCCATAATTCGGATTCGCCTGTGTGGCAAAGGCCTGTACTTATGGGTGAAAAGTGTCAGACGAAGAGTGTTACTCCGTTATCTGTTGTTGGAGGTCAACTTGAAGGTGATTCTTGCCGGTGGCATAGCGACAGTTCGAATTCGTCTGTGTGGCAAAGGTCTATACTTATGGGCGAAAAGTTGGAGAGAGTTTCCCCGTTGCACGTTTTTGTAGGTCAACTTGAAGGCGATTCTGACCGATATCAGAGCCACAATTCCATTTCACATGTGTGGCAAGGGCCTATACTTATGGGTGACAAGTGTCAGACGGAGAAAGTTTCTTCATTACCTGTTGCTGGAGGTCAACTTGAAGGCGATTCTTTTCGTTGGCAGAGCCACAATTCGAACTCGCATGTGTGGCAAAGGCCTATACTAATGGGAGAAAAGTGTGAGCTTCCAAGATTCAGTGGGCTCATCCTCTATGATGAAAGAGGAAGGCCAGTGCATCATGTTGACAATGATCAATTCAGCGGTTATCAGGTAAAACATAGAAATGGCTAAAACACAAATATATCAAAGATAGAAAACTTATTTCTTGATGCAAAGGTGGATGTAGTATTTGAATAATGGTTGCAGGGGCACCCTGTGTGTTCGAGTTCAACCAAATTTACTGTTAAATATTTTTTAAAAACAAGAGTAAATTATATGCCTACATAAAAAATCGATCGCTTATTAGGTAATTATAAGTAAATCTTTATGTTAAATAGTTAATTGATAACCCGGTGAAGATGATAAGTAACTTCCTATCGCAAGTTAAACACTGACAGTATAAAAGTCTTTGCATTATCCTTGTATATAACGTATATCGAAATTAGTTTGTGATTGCGATATAGTTGATTTATTATTCGATATATTGTAATTGTACTTGTACCATGTCTTAAAATTCTGATCCATTGTTCTGATGCAATGTTTTTTAACGCTCTTTTGCATTATTGTTTCAGGAAAAAGCAGACGCTGTTGGGAGAACTACCCTTAGGGACTTGTTTTGACGTTTCTTAGATATGTTACCAATTTTTGTATATGAAATAGATTTCAGTTACCTAATAAGCAAATCTGGATTATCCGAAATTGATCAAATTTGCCCTCCGTTAACTTTTGGTCTAATATTATTGTATGGGTCAAAATCGGCTTTCATTAAGATTTGACACGAAACGGTATCGTAGAAAGCGACATGGTCGAGGTCGATTAGTAGATAACGGGGCTCGTAGCCGAGTAGTCAATAAAGGTCGAGGTCGAGAGCTAATGACGTGTCTGTACTTTTAGGGTTGATTGGGAAATGTCTCATATAAGATAGACAAAGAGATAGGGGAGAGGGATGTGTAATATTCTCTGATAAGAATATTCTTGAAAAAACAGACTTTCTTTCGAGATAAAAGACAATTAATACCTTTCTAAAGAGATTCGATTGCCTACGATTCTACATTTTTTTTATTAGATCTGAGAAGGGTCCCAATATTCTAGTATTTATCTATCATTCACCATTGTCAAAAAGAAAAATCATCTACCTCATTCAATATTGGGTGAATCATTCTCCTTATTTACTTTAATGCAATTTATCGTTATTTAATGCTTGATATTCCCCCGTCATTAATGATCTTGAAACATTGAATATATATATCACATTTAATCTTCTCTCAACACTGCTCTTGCGTGATTGGTGTTAATCGATTATAGATCTGAAGTTATTATCATTAACTAGGTTTAGCCCTTCGTCATACAATATTAATTAATTTAATCAAAAGTTTATATTTTTTGGTCAAACAATTTGGCGCCGTCTGTGGGGATGCCTAGTTAAATCTTTAGTTTCTTCTAGATCTATAACCGGCACAGTTCACAAAAAAGAAGAGAAGCTCCTACTTCCTTGTACACCCAGATTTGGCATGGCAGGTAAGGGAGAAGAAAGGATGAAGGCAGTGGCCGATCTCACTACCAACCTCTTAAACACCATCAATGAGGTCTCCGAAACAGAAGGCGAAGGCATAATGCCTAACACCTCTCCCCGACAAAGTGAATCACCCCTCTCTCACGGCAGTATCACAACATCCCGCGGTAAAGGAGCTTCCACGTCCACAACGGAAGAAGCGCCACCAGCAGTGAAGAAGCTACTCGAAGCTTGGCTGGCAAATACGTTGACCGGCATCCTCAACAAGCCCACTCAAGAGGCAGTTAGAGAAAATGCAAGGACTTGCATTGCACCAGCAACGACCAAGCAGTACGGTCTTTCCCCTTCAGTAATAGGTATCACTCACAATATTAATAATGCAGGTAATGACACCTTCACGACCATTCTGACAAAAATGGAAGAAATGGAAAATGAAAATAAAATGCTTCGGGATCAAATGAGAGAACACCAAGAAAGAGTCGACAAAATACCGGGTGCCCCAAAACTCTTGCCAAAAAGAGACGCTAGTCGGTTCGTCGAGCAACCCTACAGTGATGAAGTCGCCCCCACATGCCATACCCAAGTCGTTCAAGATGCCACCTTATCTGAAAATTTATGACGGTACGACTGACCCCGAAGATCATGTAACTCACTATGTCACTGCGTTAAAGGGCAATGATCTCGCCAAAGAACAAGTCTCCTCCATCTTGTTGAAAAAGTTCGGCGAGACCCTTACCAGAGGAGCAGTGACTTGGTATTCACAGCTGCCCGCGCGCTCCATTGAAACATTCGAAGAGATGGCCGACAAGTTCGTGACAGCCTATGCTGGGGCTAAAAAGGCGGAGGCAAGAGTGAACGATATATTTGCCATCAAACAATCACCCGGAGAGGGATTGAGGGACTTCCTCGCTCGTTTCAATAGAGTAAGGATGACCTTACCGAATGTATCGGAAGGAATAGCTGTAGCAGCTTTCCAGAACGGGCTAAACAGGAATGGCTCGAGGGCGACCAGAAAAGATCTTGCAGCTCCACGATCCAACCGAGAAAGGCATCAGCTATATGTCAGAAGCTCCATCAAGCTCCTCGCCCTCCACGAAGAGGGGCCATCTAGACCAAGGATAGGGACTCACCAGAACGAGAGAGGTATGCCCCCTTTACTATCCGCTCACAATTTTTGTGTGTCACCCTCAGAAATAGTCTATTCATTGGAGAAGCTCGGACCAAAAGTAAAGTGGCCACAAAAGATGATGTCAGATTCAAGCACTAGAAAATCAGACGCCCTCTACGAGTTTCACCAAGAGCGAGGTCACAAAACTGAGGACTGCATCGCCCTAAGACAGGAGGTCTTGAACATGCTTCATCAAGGACACCTCAAAGAATTATTGAGCGACCGAGGAAGGACCCACTTTGCCCGAGGACGTGAACAACATCAAGGAGCACTGAAATTGTCCTCACCGACTCGCACCATTCAAATGATCATCGGGGGCGGCGATGACATTTCGATCAACAGCATAAATTTCGCCACAACCCACAAGCTCAAACATTCAATCTCTCATGAACGGTACGATGAACTCGAAGAAAGTATCATCTTTGATAAGTCAGATACCCACGATTTGGTTTTCCCTCACTATGATGCCCTTGTTATCACTTTACGAATATTAGATACAGATGTAAGACGCAATATGGTGGACGATGGGAGCGGCGCGTACATTATCCATCCTCGAGTACTTGCACAAATAAAACTCGAGGATAAGATAGTACTGCGCTGCATCACGCTAATAGGTTTTAACAATGCAGTTGAACGAACATCCGGGGAAATCACACTCCCCGTCCTAGCCGGCGGCATCATTCTGAAAACCACATTCCACATCATGGACTGGGATACGGCGTACAACGCCATAATAGGTCGACCTTGGATACACGCCATGAGGGCTATCCCTTCAAGCTTGTACTAAGTTATCAAATTTGCAACCCCATAGGGAGTATTCAGCATACGAGGAGAACAACGCACATCTCGAGAAAGCTATCGCATCGCCCAGGATTGTACATATACCCAACAAATGAAGGGCAAAGGAGAAAATGCATAGCAATTAACTATGTCGAGGTTGAGCTGTGATGAAAAGGCGGACATCATCAGAGATCCTGAAATAATGGATGATGTGGGATCAACCGTAGAAGACCTCGACCACGTCCAACTTGATGAAAACGACCACAGCAAGAAAGCCTACGTCGGCCGCAAGCTTCAAGAACCAGGTAAATTCCGTCAATTCTTAACTGCTAATGCGAACTTATTTAATTTTTCCCATGCAGACATGCCAGGTATCCCGAAGGATGTCGCCACACACAAGTTGAACGTCAACCTATTTTACCCCCCGGTAAGGCAGGTTAGGCAAAAGTTCAATTCCGCAATAAACGATGCAGTCCACGAAGAGGTCAAAAATTATTAGAAAATGAGTCCATCAGGGAATCAAAATATCCCCAATGGGTTGCCAATGTGGTCATGGTAAAAACGAAGAACGAAAAGTGGCGGATGTGTGTAGACTTCACGGATTTGAACAAAGCATGTCCCAAAGATTCATTCTCGCTACCTCACATTGACCAGCTCATTGACGCAAAGACGGACATGAACTGCTGAGCTTCTTAGACGCATACTCAGGCTACAATCAGATCCTTATGGAAGAGGGGGACTAGAAGAAGACCACCTTCATCACCCACTAAGGAACGTACTGCTACAGGGTGATGCCCTTTGGACTGAAAAATGCGGGGGCGACATACCAAAGGTTGGTGACCAAAATGTTCAAAGACCAACTTGGAAAGACCATGGAAGTCTACATAGACGACATGCTGGTCAAGTCCAAAAAGAAAGAAGATCACATCGACCACCTGAAAGAGGCCTTTGACATACTTAGGCGATATGGGATGAAACTAAACCCTGAGAAATGTGCGTTCTGCGTAACTTCAGGAAAATTCCTGTACTTCCTAGTATCACAAAGAGGTATCGAGGTCAATCCCGACCAAATCAAAGCCATTGAGGGAATACCAAAACACTTAACCAGCAAGAAACAAGTTTAGAAGCTGACTGGCCACATCGCCGCCTTGTCGAGATTCATATCACGATCATCTGATCGATGTCACATGTTTTTCGGCGTGCTCAAGAAGGACAATGGCCTCCTATGGAAATCTGAGTGCGTTCAAGCCCTAAAAGAGTTAAAAGCCTACCTATCATCGCCACTATTGCTTGCCAAAGCAGAACAAGGGGAACGTCTGCTCGTCTACCTCGCCATATCCGAAGTAGCGGTGAGTGCAGTCCTAGTCCGAGAAAACAAAGGTAGGCAATCTCCTATCTATTACATTAGCAAAACCCTAGTCGACGCTGAGACGAGGTATCCCTACCTCGAAAAACTGGCCTTAGCCTTGGTCATAGCTTCACGAAAGCTTAGATCCTACTTCCAATGCCATCCGATCTCAGTAATCACAACTTTCCCCTTGAGAAGCATCTTGAATAAGCCCGAGCTATCGGGAAGATTAACTAAGTGGGCCATAGAACTGAGCGAGCATGATATCACATATCAACCGCGGACGGTGATAAAATCACAAGTCCTCGCTGACTTCGTCACAAAAATAATGCCTGAAGTCGAAAAAGAAGCTGCCCACGCTTCTCCGCGAACACAAGATCTATGGATTTTGTACACCGACGGCGCCTCCAATGCATCAGGGGTTGGACTGGGACTTATACTCGAAGTCCCGACAGATGAAGTGGTTCGCCAGTCCATAAGATGCCCATACATGACTAACAATGAGGCCAAGTATGAGGCCGTGATTGCAGATTTAAGGCTAGCACTCAAGTACGGGGCGAGGCGGGTCATCCTACGTTGCGACTCTCAACTCATCATCAACCAAGTCACATGAACTTTCCAGATCAAAGAGCAAAGGTTACAAAAATACCAGGCCGAGATTTGCAGACTATTGCATAGTTTGATGAGTACCAATTCGACCAAATCCCTTAAGCACAAAACATGGAAGCAGACGGCCTCGCCAAATTAGCGGCAACAACTAAAAGCATAACTGGAGAAGAAAACGTGGTCACCCTCCTCCACTCATCGATAGATCAAATCGAGGTAAGGACCATAAATCTAACCTAGGACTGGCGCAACTGTATTGTTATATACTTGCAGGATGGAGAACTCCAGATGATAAAAAGGAAGCCAATAAGCTCCGGATGCAAGCGGCTAGCCCCTAGCGAAATGCTTAGGCCCGAATCAGATGCGGCGCATACTAGAAGAAGTCCATGAAGGCCACTGCGGAGATCACTCAGGCATTCGAGCTTTGGTCAGATGTCTCATACGGGCAGGTTACTACTGGCCTACCATGAAAAAAGAAACCGCAGACTTCGTAAAAAAATGCGAACAATGCCAAAAATACGCCCCAATGATCCATTAAGCGGGCGAGCATCTCCACTCAGTCACCTCCCCTTGG